TATGATGCAGATCACCAAAAATTTACTATGTTTTACAACTCCCTATTGATCTGCGTGACATGTCCTGTGACTGCTATGCTGATCTGCACACGTTTTGATTCCAATTAAAATATTTATATATCAATACAAATAAAAAATAGTACCTTTGGTTAGTTATTAACACATCTTCAGAACCAAATCATACTAAACAACATCACTCGTGTTTTGTAATCTGTCAAAAAAAAATTTGTTTTCCAAAAAAACTAGGAGCTCCATACATAAATAATTAGTGTATGTGTTAAAACAATTAAAAGAGAAAAATACAAGTAAAGATCACATAATGCAAATTTTGGATGAATAAATATACAAAAAACTATTTTTCATTCATTTTTATTTATTTATTTGGTATACTGTTTATAACTATATTCTTATTTGACAGATGAAGGGCCAACATCGAAGGGAAGAAAACAAAACCAGGAGATTCTTACCTATAGAAATGCTGAACAAACCTGTAAACAGGTGGAAGGAATGCCTCCACATCCACCTTTTGCAAGAATGCTACATGGAATAATTCAAAATACAAAGATCTGATACTGAATAGCCATGGAAATAACTTGCCAGATCTTCCACTTACTTTATATGATCCTGTTTTTGCTAAATTTGTTGATGACCTTTCAAGTATTCAAATTACAGATGAAGACTGTGAATCAATCAAAAATTTAACGTTCTTAATGTCAGCTTCATATGAAAATGAAAATGAACAGGTGAAGGTATTTTGATCATGGGCAAGTGAGTATTTTCAAACCCCAGTCACCAAGCTTCCCTTACCACAGATGATCCAATCAGCTGATGTTGGAATCACTCATAATGTTAACTCAATACAGCACCTCTTGCTTCTTGGAGAGGCAAAAAACGAACTTGGAGATGGGTTTGGATGTGCATACATCCAAACATGTGCATCATATACAAAGTTTGTTGGTTCGCAGAGCAATCCAGACATATGATATGGACTTAGTCCTGCTTTTATTGTGTATTTTGCTGGGGCCACACTTGGCATAGGAGGTGCAGTTTTTGGGCGCACATTTACAATGTATCCTCTTGTTCATACTTTTCATTTACTACCTTTGGAGTTCGATATTGATGGAATGATTGTTATTGCATGTGCATTTTGTGCTCTGAAACATGGTATAGAATCATTAAGACACTACTATGACAAGTTAGAGCAAGTAAACATTGATAATTTAGATCAACCAAGATGTGCTAGCTATCCATATGTATGTTCCTTTAAGGGTGCTGACAACACCATTGTCAACTTTGAGTATAAACATCGGCTTCTACACCATAAGTTATTATTTTTGGTGGAGCCAGATAAAATAAATGACTCTTGTCTGCTTGTCAACTTTGTAAAGAAGTATGGTGAGGATGTACACCGTTTTTGTCATGAGGCAATGATATCACCTAAGCTGGTGGCTGTCAATCCACTTGCAGGAGGTTGGATGCTAGTAGTTATGGAATACCTTTCAGCAGATAGCTTTATTTCATTGTGTGATGCTTTATTAACCAATGTGGAAAAGCATGAGGCATTGGAACTGGCTATTGATGCAGCAAAAAAATTACATAATGCAGGATATGTTCATGGTAATCTTTGCTCATCAAATCTTATGATATCTACCAAGGATAAACGCATATGCATTCTTGACTTTGATTATGCAGGGAGAAAAGGAGAAGCAATGTATCCTTATTTTTTGAGCAAAATAATACCTTGGCATAATGAAGTTAAGGGGGGAGGACTCATTAAAGACTATCATGACATTTACCTTCTGGAAAAGTCTATGTCATAATGATTTGACATCCACAACTATCAGCAGTTATATGTTCTGTATATCTATTTTAACGAATAGATATTCTGATTATGAAAAATATGTGTCTGATTACTTTATAATTCAAAGCACCTTTATTCTGATATAAATAAAAGGAATCTTTGTTTAAATCTTTTATTGCATTGATTTATTTTCAGAAGTAGTTATACTTTAAATTGTTTAATTGCACTGACATTGCTATTAAAAAAAATTTCAACAAAAACTTAAAATTTACTGTCCCTAATTCCATTTTGAATAAGTACAATTCAAATGACATCCAAAGCGAAGTAACTAATAAAATGATAAAACTTATATATATGATTACCTGTATATAAGTTGCAAGACATTGCGGATCTACATGGGGTCAAGTGTTACTCACTAATAAAATTTTTTTGATCAACACGGAATTTTATATGGGGCATACTGCAACAAAACCAGACAAAGTGAACATTGGTATAACCAAGAATTTTAGGGATCAAAATTTA